GTCAAAGGAACAGAAGAATCCACTCCCAGTGTGGATTCTTCAGTTCCTTTGATGCCCTATGATCCGAGAGATCTTGGATTGATCTGTTTAGTACAGAAACACAAAATCCGTTTTTGAATTCTTTCGGATTTAAGAATCCAATCTTGAATTTTCGTAAAGAAAAGCACCCTCAGTCATACATGTACTTTTCTCATGGGCCTTGTATCAGTCATAATTTCTTTCTGGCTATGTACGACCCTCAGCTGGCAGTTTTTCATCATTCAGTTGATTCATTGTGTTTGATTTCATGATCCATGGGTTTCATTCAGCATTGTAGTTTTGTCTGACCTGTTACATTCTGGAAAGCATTCACTTGATATTAATTATGTCAATTTTGTCAGCTTCCTTAAGAGAACTTTTAATGTTGATGTTAATATACATTGTATGTACCATTGTAAGTTTTTTTATTTTATAGGACTTATCCAGGATGGTTTATCTGCATGGCAATGGATTAGGTCTCAAAGCCCTGAAGCACCTCTCTATATCTGGGGCCACTCATTAGGTTCAGGGTAAGTGGGGGCTTATTAATTATGGTTGTTCAGGACTCAAGACTGTCCTCATTGCCAGTAACTCACAAGTGTCCTTGGGTAGCCAAAACATTTCTTAACGAACTAGATTTCCCATTAATTAGCCAAATTATGTTTTGGCCCGCTATTTTTCTTTTTTGTGTGAACCCCACTACAGCTTGCAAGGTCTGGAATTGAAACTCTTAGAACTGTTGGTATTAGGCTAGATGGTATTAAAAGTAAATATTTGAGATATCTATTACCTTTTTGTCACTCCCACTGTGTTCAGCTTTTGCCATTCCAGTCACAAATGACAACTGCAGTGTATGCCAAGTTTGATTTTCATCAAAGGTTTTAAGAATAGTAGTGGCTGTTTTTCACTAACCAGCTCACTTTGTTTGTGCTTATTACTGGTTGCAATTATTTGTTGAGGTCTAGGTTTGCTTTTTGTTTACTTTTGGTTGCTTTTCAGGGTAGCTGGTGGTGTTGCAAAAGCATTATGCGATGAAGGTAATTTTTTAAACACATGAAGCCATGAATTTTTTAACTTACCATTACAACCACTTCAGTTGATGTTAAGTTTACATTTTTGATAGGCTCCCCTCCCTCGGGAGTGATCCTGGAAGCGCCCTTCAATAATGTGTGGGAAGGAGCAATCAAACATCCAATAACTGTGGTAAGTAGACTTCATTTGACTTGGTTTAAAATTTGATTTGTGGCAATCTTTTTTCCCAAGTGTAATAATGTTTTTGGTCATTACCAACGTTCAGGACCTCTGCTCTAGGACCTCTGGGTGAAATCAGGTGCACAGTGTCTGACTTATTGGTTGTCAATCAGAGACATACATTTGCTTAGTTGTTAACACACTCTGCACTACCCACATGAAATGTTTAACCTTGAAATGGTCATTGACCGACACTATTAATACCATCCCCGTTATGCTGAATCATTAGTATAGGAACCCTTAGCATTGAATCTCAGACTACTCAGTGGAAGAACAGAGGGTTTAAAAATTGAGTAAAATTAATCACTTGCAGTCAGTGCGATTTTGTATACTATGGCCAGACCGAAAGATCACTGAAGAAGCAGGTTTCTGAGCACAAAGAGGCTGTCTTGATGTTCTATCATAACTCCAAACTCACACGGTCATCCCAGAAGTTTACAAGTGCTTAGCACGCACTTAGAATTCTCTTGAGTCATGTGCATACAGCACGTGCAACGTTTCAATATTAAAAAGTTTTTAAATCACGTGTAACATCAAGCAGTTTTTTCAACTGATGAAGGCTTAAGAGTTAGCCGAAACGTCTTGCTAAAATATACATGTCAGTGACAAAAAAAAAAAGCAGCACTTTTATCGACTAAGAACAGAGGGTGTTTAGTTCTTTGTTTCATAACTTTGGAAATGTGCAAACCTTGAGAACTCTTTAACAAAAAATATCTCTGTAGATTTTCTCAAACTTTCATCTTCTTCTGAAGCCTCAATCATTTAATGATAATGATAACTGTGACATCCATAAGGCCTGGATTTTGATGCAATAATTTAATTCCTTGAGCTGCATTGCCTTGTTGACATTGCTTTGACTTTCGTATTGCAGCCTTTTAGATTTCTTCCATATTACAATGAGACTGTTCTGGATGAAGTTAAGGAAGTGTTTCGCACTGATAAGAGGTGGGTAACTTTATGTTAGTTAAAGAATGAAAATGATTGCTTTCATGGTGACTTGTGACATCTTTCTGTGAATAATATTTTACCACAAGGTATGGACCCTTCATTCACACTGTATGTATTGTTGCATTGTCATTTAGGTTAGCAGATGTGTATTGTCCAATATTAATACTTCATGACCATGATGATGAAATTATATCATTTGAACTGGGGAAAAAGGTAAGTATTGGAGTTGCCTATTAAGAACTTTTAGATTCTAAGTGCTACATGCGTGTTGTGGGTAAAGGTAAGGTTAAGTCTCCATTGGAGCCAAGTGACCCATCAGGTTAACACTTATCTCTGGTTTCTGTAGCATGAAGCAACTAAGAGTATTTCTACTCCCCTTTAGATGGGATGCTAGTCCATCGCAAACATGCACGTTGTTCTACTTAATTCAAAACTCCCATTGTTCCTGTCGCTCAGTGTAATGATGCTTTTCTTGTACATCTTCCATTCTAGTTATACGAGACTGCTAAGAATTCCAGGAAACCTGATGCAGATCCTATTAAATTTGTTGAATTAAATGGGCGTCATGGCCACAAGATGATTTATCAATCTGAAAAACTTCCAGGACTCTTAAGGTACATTATTCAAACATATAGTTGGTAGCCCAGTGAGGGTCAAGCTTACAATTCCCTTTCTGGTTCTGAGAATTTAACT